CTACGTAAGTAAGTACGTAACGTAACTAAGTAACGTACTACTACTACGTACGTACTACTACTACTATATAGTACGTAGTACGTACGTAGTAGTATATATACTATACTACTACTCTCTCTCTCTCTCTCTCTCTCTCTCTCTCTCTCTTCTTCTCTCTCTCTCTCTCTCTCTCTCTCTCTCTCTCTCTCGTTCTTAGATATGAGAAAAGTACAAAAGTAGTCTGGAAAAATAAGGATCGTGACATTCCATATACAAAAGTATTTGTTAACGACTAACAGAGATTCCAATCCTTTAGGAAACATAGATCCAGTCACCAAACCCTAGACAAAAGGAGAGACAATGGTAACACAAACCCTAGATCAAAGGAGGATGAACCCTTGCTTGATTCAGAGATCATGCCCTCTCGCCTCTGATCCTACGAGCTAGCTGAATATCCTTGGGCATACTTGTGACCCTCTTGGCATGAATGGCACAAAGATTAGTGTCCTCAAAGAGACCAACCAAATAAGCCTCAGCAGCCTCTTGCAGGGCTGCAACCGCACTGCTCTGGAACCTCAGATCAGTCTTAAAATCCTGAGCAATTTCACGAACAAGCCTCTGGAAAGGGAGCTTCCTGATCAGAAGCTCGATGCTCTTCTGATACTTCCTGATCTCCCGGAGAGCAACAGTTCCAAGCCTGAACCTGTGAGGTTTCTTCACACCACCAGTGGCTGGAGCTGATTTGCGAGCCGCTTTGGTGGCAAGTTGCTTTCGAGGAGCCTTTCCACCTATTGACTTCCGAGCTGTTTGCTTGGTGCGAGCCATGGAAATGGATCAAAGGATAGGGAAACAACCAGATAAAGGAGGAGACTAATGGGGTAAAGAGAGTGATAGGGGATTTAGATTAGGGCAAAAGACAACGAAACCTAAAATTAGGGTTAGGGCAAAGATTAACCAGGGCAAGGAGGAGCGAGCAATTAAGAATTAGGGCTTGCAGGCAGAGACAGAGAGCGAAATGTGAGCGTGAATTTAAAGTTGGAAGGGGTGGTATTTGTAGAGCGATGGCGGGATTGTGCTTTCTGAAATGGGTTTTAACTTCGCGGGAGTAGATCTGGACCGTTGGTTTTTTGTGCACATCAACGGTTGAGAATTCGGGGTTGGTGAGCACACGGATCGTCATCCGGAATAGCGGACAGGACTTTGCTTCTTTTGTTTCTTGACGTCATCTTTTTCCAATGCTATGTGATTACTGTAGATTTGTTACTCTAGTCTATAGTGTTTATCTTCTCTCTTAGGGTAATTATTTTTTGGTAAATTTATCTCCATATCCACATTAATGCTCATTATACCTTCTGTGAGCGTCATTTAACGAAGAATTTCAAGAAAGAATGCAAACACATAACTTTATTAGAGCATGTAGAGCATATATGCAGCAAGAGTATTTTGATAAGATGATGGAAATTAGATCACTTTCTGAGGACGCATTCAAGTTGTTCATGGAAGTGTCACTAAATCGTTCGGTCACATCACAGTTTAAAGGTAATTGATATGACCAAGTAACAACTAATGTGGCTGAGTCATATAATAAGTGGATTCTAGAAGCATGAAATATGTCAATTCTCCAGTGTATTGACTTGATTAGGAGACAAATCATGGAACTAATGGCCACTCACAGTTTGAAAGTTGAAACCTGGAGTACAATACTTACCCCGAAAGCACTAAACGAATTAAAAAAAAATCATTAAGGAATCTCTTTCTGTGAGGGCAACTGTGGCATCAAATGGAGCAGTGTATGAAACAAGGGGTGATCGCATAAATTATATAATAAATATTATTGCATGAGAATGTAAATGCTGGGGTTGACAAATAACAGGTTTGCCTTGTAAGCATGCTTGTAAAGCCCTTCAAGTAATGAATAACGACCTTATTGACTATTGTCAATAATATTTCATAGTTAGAAAATTTCGTGAAACATATTCTGTAGCTATCATGTCAGTTACCTTGATCGATTTGTCTGTGTGTAGGTTATGTTGACAGCTTCCTCCAGAAGAAGTAAGAGTGCTTCCACCTCACTCAAAACGTCCCCTGGCCGACCTAAAAAGAAGTGCATCGAGTCACAAGAAGTACCAATGGGACCTATGCACTGTAGTCATTGTAAAGGAGCTGATCATAACAGGGTAACATGTAAAGCACCCACTTGAAGGCATGTGCATGTCCTTTTTTTTTGATTGAGGACGAAATTTGGTCAACTGCCAAAAAAGCCTATCAAATTAAAACTCCTTCAACACACTCGAGCATGTCTCCTATATTTAGTCGGTACAACGATATTTATCGACGCATCTCAAGGGTCCACGCTTACAAGTTACCTACAATTGTGTCGAGATCTCGATGAGGTTGGGAAGTATGCATGAGGTGCAGCAGTACTTGCCTTTATGTATCGTTCATTGTCTAAGGTTGTGGATGAGGACACACATTTTAGTGGTCCGCAACACTACTACAGGTAATACTTCTACTTTTTTTTACATATTTACATATTTGTGTCAATATTTATATATTTGCAATCTTTTTGCTTAAAAAACTAATACTTTTATTTTTTTTTGTGGAGTGTTGGATTTATGAGCATTTTCTAGCTATAGGCACCAAACCTAAAACTATCACCATAGAAATGCCTAGAGCTTGTAAGTGGAATAAACATCCACGTTGTAAAGACCCGTCAGCAACATTTGAGGACATCTCAATTGATATAGTTAGCGTTATGTTTTTATTGTAAGTGACATGGTTTGTGTTAAGACATCTCAATTGATAGTGTTTAATGCAAAGACCCATTAACGGTGTTGTGTTATATTATTGTTGTAGGTGAATTGGCAACCATATGACGAGTACACCCCACTAGATACACTCAGTAAAGAGAATGCGTTGTCCCGATCATATCTGATAAGTTTTCACATTGCAGAGTATTATATGTCGGATCATATGCTACAACAATTTGGGAAGTCGCAAGTTATTCCTGTGGGGCCTCCCAAGTGGGAGAGGTGGGAAAAGGGGGGCTTATACCCCACTAGTTGGGGTGATGAGTTGGCTAGCGAGATAAATGACTGGCGGCAATGAGAACGCAATGTTGTCAAGGCAGCCACATATAAATATGGTGAAATGCCTACAAAGGATTATATGGCCTGGTACAACATGTTTACTCGTAGATATGGAAATACTCCATTGTGCCCCCCTCACAGTCGTAATTAAATGTCCCTCCCTCTCAGGCCATGATGACGAGAGAAGATTGATATATTATTTTATTAATATATTTTAGTTTTTATTGATTTAAATTAATTATCTATTCAAAGCAGTTATTTATATTATTTTTATTATCAACTTGCAGTGATTAACCTGTATAGAGATGTTACAAGCAGCACTTGGTGGTGAAGTATTAGCAGGGGAATCGAGAAGTTTGGTACAGGCGACCCACGATTTGTTAGTGCAACACACTCCTATAGATCATGTCGAGGAGATGGTGAAGGGAGATGGTGGATGTGAGGGCGAGGAGACAGATGGTGGAGATGACAACAACGAGAGCGAGACTGATGAGGAAGATGAGAGGAGAACGAAGAGAAAAAATGATAAGGAAAGCGAGATCGAGATTGATGAGGAAAATGAAATGAGAACAAAGAGCAAAAATGATAAGGGCAAAGGTAATGTAAGTTGGCCAAAGAAATGGTTGAGGGCAAGAAAGTGAATGCCGATGTATTTTTTTGGAACAAAGGTAAATTTAAAAGTATGAACCTTTTTTGAGATAGAAGTTGAGTATCGAGATTGAAACTGATGTTATGTTATTTTTGTACAATTGAAGCTACTCTATCATAGTAGCCAATTTATGAAATGTTCAGTCTTTTTGTTGTAATTATATTAATGGAATCAATACATTTTTAAGTTCTTTCTATTGTCATTATGTTGATGGAATCAATACCTTTTTAAGTTATTTTTGTTGTCATTATGTTAATGGAAACTGCTTTGAAACTTGGTCAAGCATATGCCAATGTATTCTTTATGAATGAGTTTATAACGATTGATATGATTGCATAAGCATTTCATCTTCGCATAAGCATATGCCAATGTATTATTTATTGGATTATTGCATAAACACTTCAAGTTCATCTTGATCAAGTTTTATTGCCTTTTGGCCTTTGCATTTGAGCACATAACAACCTCAACTGTGGTGGTCTCTCCTGTTAGAGTGGTAATAGTTACATCTGAATGGCTTCATTAGCCCCTTGCCATGACTTTTCCCTGGCTTGGTAAGAATTATATTTTACTCTTGTTCCTTTGATTATCTCTCTTGTTTATATTTTTCTTTTTTCCTGTGTTGTGTAGTGGTTGCAGAGGACGAGGAGAAAGGCTCTCTTGGCTGCTCTAGAGAAGATCAAAGAAGGTTATATTCGTGTATATAGAGTTTTCATCATGTTTTTTACTTTAATGAGTTCATGTTTTTTTCTTTTTCCTAATTAAGGGGGAAACTTGTGAATTAAGGGAGCATATATATCTATTATGTGTTAAAAAAATTGCATGCTGATTTCTAATGAAAGTTGGAAGCTACGAACAAATCTTAAAGGCATGCTATGATTGTGGCATGAAAATCCAGTGACTGTGCATGATTTTGTAACACATGATGGACCTATCAAATGGTGTCTGAATTGCTTAAAATTACCACCATTAGAAAGGTCTATGAGTCCATTTGAATCTTCATGTTTGGGTTCAATTGAAATTCAGAATAATTTGAAAGTTATAATTCATTTTATGCACCTATGTCACTGTTGACAGACTATATAAATTTTCAAAAGTATCACTATAGTTGCATTGAGGTTTTGTATGACTAAATGAAGTCCAAATGACTCATAACTATAACCATTTGAAAGATACACGAATTTACTATGAGTTTTATATTTTAACCTTATCCAAATTCTGTATAATATAAGAGTTGTGTTTCAAAGTATGTGGATATGTTACTGTTGACAGATTGCAGAAAACTCATAATTTTTGTTCCTGTTTTCATAAGTTTTAAATGATCGAATGGAGTTCAATTTCCTTCAAACTACTGTCATTTGAAAGTTTTATGTGTCCTTTTGAATTCACATGTTGAAAGAATTTTGAAATTATTTCTAAATCAAGAGTTATACATCAAATTATGAGAATATGTCACTGATGATCAAACTCAGCAATTTCAAGAACTATTGCTTCTGTTACCTTTGACGGACGAAATGGGGTGCAAATGCTCTCAAATTACTATAACATGAAAGCTAAGAATGTTAACTTCAAAGTTTGTTTAGGAATTATATTGAAATTCCATATAAAATTGATGTTTATATCCTTGTTTATGAAACATACCCCAATATGACATTTCAGAATCTCAAGATTCTATGTTAACCCTGAATTGGTCATGCTCAATTAAGCTTCATACTTTCTATGATTGAGGGAGGCTCATACCAACTTTGAAAGAGCAATTGAAATGAAGTAAATTTCCCTCATAAGTTGGATGTTATGTCTCACCTTGCACATGCATATTTTTGACAAGAATTACAATGAATTCTTAGTTGTTGCGCAGATCATACATCTGCTATGCACAGATATGTTGAATGTGGATTGATTCTTTTGCAAGATGATTGAAGTTCTGTTATAAGATACTGAAATGACACAATAGAGAGAGAGAGAGACAAAGATTTTGCACAATAGAGGTACTCTAGAGAGAGAAAGATGAAGATTTCATACAATAGAGGTATTTTAGAGAGAGAAATTTCACACAACACAGATGTTTTCTAGAGAGATAAAGAAGGTTGCTTGGTGAAAGAAAACCAGTATTTATAGCAAACAAAGAATGAAGGAACAAACCAAGAGCTTGGAGCATTTTTTATGGATCCGGCATTTATGAAATGCTCTTCGGCAAAACTGAAAATCACTCCGGCATTTTATGAAATCACTCCGGCATTTTATGAAATCACTCCGAAGATTAATTCACTGTAAAAAAGCAGTCCGGCACTTGTAAAAAGCACTCCGGCAAAATTAAAACTCACTCCAGCGTTTCTTGAATCCACTCTGGAGATTGATTCACTATTAATAGCCAGTCCGAAATCTAAAAAAGACACATCGGCAAAATTAAGACGCACTCCGGCTTTTTTTTAATGCACTCTGGAGAATGTTCACTGTTAAATAAGCACTCCGGCATCTGTAAAATGAACTTCGACAACATTAGAAAGCACTCTGGCATTTGCTGAAGGCACTCTGGAGATTAGTTCACTGTAAAAAAGCAGTCCGGCATCTGTAAAAAGCACTCCGGCAAAACTAAAAGGCACTCCGGCCTTTCTTGAACCCACTCCGGAGATTGATTTACAATTAATAGCCAGTCCGGAATCTAAAAAACGCGCACCGACAAAACTAAGAAGCACTCCAGCATTTTCTGAATGCACTCCGAAAAATATTCACTGTTAAATAAGCACTCTGGCATCTGTAAAATGAACTCCGGCAACATTAGAAAGCACTCCTGCATTTGATGAAGGCACTCCGAAGATTAGTTCACTGTAAAAAGCACTCCGACAATACTAAAAGGCACTCTAGCCTTTCTTGAACCCACTTCAGAGATTGATTCACTGTTAATAGCCAGTCCGGAATCTAAAAAACGCGCATCGGCAAAACTAAGAAGCACTCAGGCGTTTTCTGAATGCACTCTGGAGAATGTTCACTTTTAAATAAGCACTCTGGCATATGTAAAATGCACTCCAGCAAAACTAGAAAGCACTCCGGCGGTTATTCATTGTTAATATGCAGTTCGGCATTTGTAAAACTCACTCTGGCATATTTAGAAAATACATCGGCATTTCATGAGCTTGCTACAGCGAATTGTTTACTGTATAATAGTGCACTCTGACACTTGTGAAGATTCTCCATAGAATACTTCACTATTAAATAGGCAGTCCGGCATCTGTAAAACGCACTCCGACATATTTGGAAAGGACTCTGACAATTGATGAACTTGCTTCGGCGAATAGTTGACTAAAATTGACAATCTGACACATGTGGAAATCACTCCGGCAAAAGCCACTCCGGCGCTTCATTCATATCAGTCTGGCACTTCGCTTCCTGGACGAAATGCCAATCCGGCAATTCACTACCTCAGTCCGGGGAATAGCTCACTAGAATCACGGGCACTCTGGCATATGAGGAAAGCAGACTGGCCGTTTGCTTCCTGGAATCCCAACCACTCCGGCATTTGTCTGCCTTGGTCCGGCGAAAGCGTCATTGGAATCGTGGGTTATCCGGCATGTGAAGAACATCGAACCGGTAGTTTCCTCCCTAGAAATTTTTCAGTCCGGCTATTCATCATATCACTTCGGCAATATGTTTCTTGGATACACAGGCGCTTCAGTCTAGCGTTTTAGATATTCGATCCGGCATATGGTTTTCTCATAAGCACTCCGGCGAATAATAACCGCGGTCCGGTGTTAATGAAAGTTGGGGTCCGCCTGAAAGATTTGATCGTACGTTCAAGGTACGGGAAGGGATATTTTTGGCAAAAAAAATAACTTTTTTCAGTTGGGGGGGATTTAGTATGGAAAGTTGGTTTTTTAAAAAAAGATTAGGGTGTGGGTGGAAGGTCTAAAAGCTCATTTTATTTTGAGGGGGTATTAGTAATTTTCCCTAAGAATTATACCTATGCCGATTCAGGATTTGGTTCATGTTTTTGAGTCAATGCTTACATCCAATTACCCCCTCTAGGGGGCTGACTCAGAGTTAACACTGAGTCGACTGAACCTAGGTCTCAGTCTAGACTATGGAAGTAGACAGCTCATGTTTGGTTTCGTGCAATAGACCTGGATTCAATTCTGCTGGATATAGGTATACCTCAAAACAAAGTTGGGTGGAGACAATTCTACGTTTGGGACACAACCAGTTTGTACTAATTTCATTATCTCTGTTCACTTTGGTGCCTTATTATGTTTATAAATGATTCATCTTTTAAAAATTTGAATAAACATGGATATGAAAAATAAGCATATTCAATCCCTCCCCTTTTCCTTCTCTCTCTTGATCACCTGCACATTGTTGGCATAATGGTCCTTTAAAATCTAAATTCAAGATTATAAATTTAATCTTCCTATATCAATCCTCGCTTATGCCAAATTTAGCTGACTGAACATAACCTTACTGAAAGTTCATCCAAATTTGTAAAACTGAGATGAGTGAAGCACTTATTAAATATATCTCAAAATTGTATTCTCTTGAGATACTTCTAGGAAATACAGAGGCCAAATTTGACTTGCCTTTAGGCTAGGGATTTGATTTTAACCACGTGAAATAAATTTGAGCATAAGCAATTGAGTTTTTTTTTTTTCTTTTTTTTTTCAGTTACATAACAATGGTTCAAACTTTGCTGGACAGAGCATCCCCTCTTTTATGCTCCAAATCATTCATTTATTGTATCCAAAATTAGGGATAATTATAGAAGTCAAATCTCACTATTGATCGCCCGTAGGAAGAGTGGTACAAATGTAGACCCATGTCTAAAACTTGTTGAGATACAAATATAGAGTGAATGGACGTATTTGAGCTCGACTGTGACCAAAAATCGAACTCCTTTGTTACCTCGGTCAACACCACCGAGGCAGTTTTGCAAATATAAACTCAATAAGTAAATTTGAGTAGGAAATCTTGAATAAAACCAAATCAAAATAATCATAAAGTTACTGCTAAACACATGAATATCTCCAGTTCTCTCACCCACACAAAAATTCTCAATTCTTCGTAATTCGAATCCAAAACTGCTTAACCTCTACTAAAGTTGGTTTGAAGCACTAGTCAATCTGGTTTAATTCCAACATATGCAGCATTTATATTCTCAAACACTTATTTTCAATGATATTACAATGAAAGAGCCCATCATAAGGCTTTGGCAGCTTGGCTCAGTGGTTAGGGGCATTAGGATACAATGCTAATATCCTACATTGAAACTCCTCAAAGAACACTAGCAACAAAAAAGAAAAACAATAAGGAAGAAAACCTAAAACCTAAAATTACATCTCACAAGGGATGAAGGATGAGGGGCACCCCATGAGAAGGCCTAAGGGACAACATTATTGTGGGAGAATGACAATAATATGGGGAAATTGATAGAGAAAACCTACTTAAAATCATTGCCAATACCACCTTATACTCCATCATAAAGAGATTTTGACCTACACACATTCTACTCCCAAAACCAAAGGGTATGTACCCTGTTCTATGTTTGCAAGCCTCCTGAACCCCTTCTCTAAATCTCTGAGGCTTGAACTCATTCACATCCTCACCCCATAGTCTAGGGTCATGGTGCAAAGCTACAATGTCGACCCATATGTTGGTCCCTTTGGGAACCATTTTGTCACCTATTTGGATGTCTTCTCTTGCTTGTCTTTGGACGTTTGGTCCTGAAGGGTACAGCCTCATCACCTCCTTCATCACCCAACCCATCTGATAGGGGGAAAAACAAAAAAGGAAGTTAGTAATTTGACAAGTCTCTTATATTTGTACTATGCAAATAGAGAGTAAAATATATAAGGAAATTTGTTTAAATACCCATCTAAGATGGGTAACTCATCAATCTACCTTATCTTTTGATTTAATTTTAAAATGGAAAATTGTTTCATAAGGTAGGGACTGCATTTCTACATTTGCGGTCCCCGAGATATAAAGCATCCATCTTAAAAATGGACTCAAATAGGTGGTCCATCTAAAAATAATTGAAACTAACAGTCTAAATGCTTTCTTAATAGAATTATTTTTTAAAATTTTAAGTTTTTTTTTTCATATTCATGATCTTGATATTAGAGATTACATGTACTTAAAAATTGTGTCAAAAAATCCATCCCAAAAATAGATATTTAGGAGGTGACTCATTTCTACATGGACTCCGAGAAACCGTGTCCTTTTAAAATACCCACATGATGTGATTTGGGATAGATGCAAAAGTACATAATGATAAATAGTTCAACTCATACGAGTATTTTGATAAATTTTCCAAATATATACAATAAAGCATGCATATAATGTGTTCCCATCGGAGCACAATGTACATCTGCTCCATTAGGCAAATACCCACTTAGGAGAGCTTTCTATATCTAAATTTTAGAATCCATTTCATAATGACTAATTAAGGATTTCCCTAAAAGTGAAAAAAGGATTTTTGAGTTCTAAAATACTTAGATTTGACCTTATATTTCTAGCAAATGTGTAGGCATACATTTTTCTTTTTTGCTTCTCTTTCCAAGTTGGTCACTAGATGGAGGAGGTTAGATCCCCAAATTCTTGGGACTGAAAAATACTCCTAAGTAGGATTTTGCCTGAGGCAAGTGAATCTAGGATACGTTCCCGTGAGAGCACATAATCATTTGGCTAGACTAAATTTTGGCATGATATATATATATATATATATATATATATTGATAATTCAGTGGGAAAAATAGCCCTTACCTGTTTTTTCAAATAGTTTAGGAGTTAAGTTTCTTGAAGGTGTTAGTCGGGTGATATCAATGAGAATGGAATTCACAACATGGTGACTAGGGTGTGGGGTTGCTACCACAACAGCGCCAGCCCCTTTCACATGTTGATATCTTAGCCATCAATTTAAATGATTAACCAGTTCATCAACAACTCATATAATGGAATGATTTAAAGCTTTGGGCTTTTTTTGTGACTTAGAATGAGAGAAATCTTTTAGGAATAAAAAACAGCAAATGACTTTCCTACCATTAGTCTCCACCTCCACAATGCAGAATGTAAAATTCAAACTACCGCCTAAATTTTTAATTTAAGCAACCAAACTTGAATTTGACAAATGAATCAAGCCACCCACTTCAATAGAAAAATTTGCAACAAATTGTCTTAATTTAATACTAAGGCCTTTACTTTTCTTTAAGTTGAACATTACCTTTTTGAGCTTTGGGAGCATGTTTGAATCTAGGGTTTCTCCCTTGGTGGCTTCCATGACCTCCTCCCTTAGCTCTTTCTGCCATTCCACATGTGAAGCCAGGAGCATAAGAGTCCAACTAAGAGCTAGAGATGTGGTCTCATGACCAGCAAAGAAGAATGTCTTGCACTCATCAACAAGCTCTTGGCTAGTAAACCTCCTCTCCTTCTCACTTGTGCCATCCCTCAGCAAGAGGCCAAGCAAGTCTGTTCTCTGGATATCAGTGTTAGAGCGGCGATCATTTACGAGCTTTAGGAAACTAGAGTCGACTTGTTTGCTCAAGAGGAATAGTTGTACGGCCTTTCTGAGGTTCCTGAGGTGCAGGATCCCGTTGTAGGGGACGCCAACAGGGCGTTGGCTCTTGAAGAGAATCTGTTGAATTGCTCTGAGCATTTTGAAGATATCTTTGCCATTCTCATAACTGACACCAAAGCTAGCCCTTGCTATGATCTCGGCAGCTGATCTTGTTATCTCGCTTTCAACGTCGATTTCTGTGGTGCCAGAATCTACCAGCTTGCTCCAGGCATCCAACATTTTATTTGTTGAGTCCACCATTATATCTATCATTGCCTGGTAATGAGCAAAACATAGTTATATCTTAGGCTCGATTAGGGGGTAGAATTTTAGCAATAGTACTATTATTTCCATACAACCCATTAAAAACAGTAGTTGGCATCCCAACTTGAACTGCATTATTCACAGAGCAAAAACAAGGTGTTTCATTGATAAATGCTTTTATCAAGATTGCCATAAAAGTAAGAATATCTATTTCTTGATATGATGACAAACATGCTCAAATAAGGCCTAAAGCAATTCCAACAATTTTCAGGGTTCGAGTGACTCGGCCTCGACCGCCAAGGTGAGATTCTGGGTCCAACTCTCCTTCTTAATTACCATTAAAAATTAATGCTGGTTTGCTAATTTTCACATCATATGTTTGCATTTTATTTTTTGGCTTTTTTGAAATGTTTTCTAGTTATAAACCATTTTTTTTCAATAATCCATCCTCTGTGTATTTTTTTTTCATTTTTTTGTAGACTTTTATTCATTTTTATTACTTATTTTAGTTTTTGGTAATTTTAATTATTTTTAGTAATGTTTAGAATTTTTTTAGACTTACCCTGTAACTTGGCTTAGGTGAAGGCCGAGTTTGAGGTCCTAGTCGAGTTATAGATCCTTACCAAATTTAAAGGGCGACATTAAGTTAATAGAAGTAAACATTGTTTTGAATATATTGAATTTTGGTGTTGGAATATTTGTGAAGTATATAAGGATCCAGGATTTAAGGACTCTAGTCGAACCCATCTTAAGAATCTCATCCGAATCTTAAGAATTTTGTCCGATTCTTAGGGTTAGCCCTGCACCTTGTCATGGCTGAGTAGAGCATGTGTCAGCCGTTAAAAATTTCGGATGAGGTTTCTATAGGGCCTAAGCTTTATGAAAACACAATAAAGCCTCCCCTCAAATTCATGTCTGGAAAGCACTTTCAGCAAAATAAATCTCCATGATAACTTTAAAATTAATTTCCAACACCAACAATAAAATTTTAAACTAAAAAAACGGTACAAATCTTGCGGATATGTGAATACTTGTTTTTTAGGTGAAATGGATGGGCTATATAGTTTCTATACATATTATTTTTATATCTTAAAATCTTTTTTTTTTTTACAATCATAATATTCAAGTCGAGATGATCATGTAAAGGTTTTTCAATGCTTAAATTGTAATTTTGGATGAGTTATAAGGTGAGGATTTACTTACTTGGATCGGGCTGCAGCCGCATCAAACCATTTTCCTTTCCTTTTCAAAATTGAAATGTGACATCTAATTTGCGTAAGCATGGATAGATGGGTCCCCTTATTATTAGCTTGGATTGTGGTGGGACCCACCAGTACATTTCGTTTAGTTAGTGGAGATCATAATAACATGTTTAATGCCAAATGCTTATGCAATGCCTTTTTGCCATTTAGCCATGGAATTTCAGTTTATTTTTTAATTGGAAAAAGTTTATACATCCAAGGCTCTAAACAATCAAAGTAGAGCTTAATTCAAAAATTTAACTAGAGTTTTGGATGAAAACGTCTCTAATAGTTAAATACGTGAAAATCAATTTAATATATATATATATATATATATTATTTTTTTTTTTTTTTTTTCAATATCGCCAAATTGACATCTACTTATAAAATATATATATAAAAAAAAACTTTAAATTAATATTTGTGTGTTTGATTGTGAGAGGGAATTTTATCCAAGGTGATCGAAAAAATTCACCTAAGGTTTTGTGTAATTTTCCTTGACAAAAAAACTGAAATGATTATTTTCTCTTCTGCTAGATGAAAATGTAGAAAATGTTTCCTCAAACCTTGGGAAGTATTTTAGGATATTATATTGGGGATGTGACCTACTCAACCTATCAAAAAATATATATATATATTTTCTTTGGAACTATATGGACTCAACGTCTCCACATAGACCGTCCAGTCTTTGAACGGTCAGATAGATATAGGCATTTAGATATTGAAAATCCTTTTTTAGAAAAAAAAAAAACTCTGTTGCTTCTAAAGTGGATATCCAAATTTGAGATCATGAAGATCCTCCTAAATAGTTCATGTGTCCAAAGGACTAAATGTGAATTTTGCTCTCCAAAGCGTAGAATATGCACTCAAAAAAAAAAAAGTACAAGAGTTTAACTATTTAACATCTCATCCATTTCTTTTTATTTGATTCTAGAGAGCCCGTCAACGACATAATCATGAATTATAATAGTTGACAATTTAGTTGTGGTTTGATAAAGTCTTATGTTAAATAGTTAATATAGGTGCTGTTTGACAGTTTTCCCTCTGGGAATTTTCCTATTTTATTTTCTTGTTCTTCCTTGTATGCATGGACTATAAAGTACCTTAAAATATTCATAGATCATATGTACAAGAGGACTACAGACTTTAAAAATAAATAAATACATAAATAAATATGAATAAATATATATATATAAAGGCAAAAAAGGTAGTTTGTAATGGACAATGACATTTATTTATACTGATACATACCTTTAAATCTCCACTAATACTTTAAAAAAGACTAACTCCTAAACTATTTGAAAGAGCGCGTAGGACCTGTCTACCTTAAAAAAAAAACATACCTTTAAATTGCCACTAGAGAAGAAAGGGGCAACTGTTTGTCTATGGTGAGCCCATTCTTCTCCTTCAACCATGAGCAGTCCCTTCCCAAACATGGCCTTCCTGTCATGCTTAAAAACTGAAGGTTTTCCCCACCCTTTGCCACCCATTGATGAATTCATGAGTTTCACAAACTCAGGGTCAGCTACATAAAGAAATGGCTCAGTTCCAAGCCAGTATACAAAGGTATCCCCTACAATCACAAAATACATGCCATATTAGACAAAATACATGAACATATGTATGATTTGGCACAATTACCCTTTGGTAGGGTTGTAAATATATGATTTGTATTCTCTTCATTTTTTTATTAATGAAAATGGGTAGGGATCTTCTCCCTCACTAACTTACCCAAAAACAAGAATTTTTTTTGAAGTTAAAAAAGAAAAAGAAAAAAAAAATAAATACAAACAAAAGTAGATGCATACATATGTATGATGTGTGAACATGCATGTGTTGATCTATATATTCATCCTTATCAAGAAGTTGGGTGTTTCAATCAATTGAAAAGGATAAGCGATATGGAAGCAGATGCCCTTGCTAAAGAATAAAGGAGAGCGGATCGGCTAGTCAACCTGGGCCGGGTTTGGGTTTGGGCTCAACACGAAGGGTCTGGGCCTATTTGACCTGGACCCAACCTGACCTGACATGGGTCCTTTTGTGATCCATCCCTTTCATTGTTGGGTAGGGTTGGGTCACCGTCGAGCTATATACATACAAATAAATGCTTATATTTATATTATTTACAAACTATAGAATATATATAATAGAATTTGCATAATTTTTATGTATACTGGACCTAGTGGATCAGGTAGGGTCGGGCAAGGTCCAACTTGGACCTAGTTGGATGGGGTCCGGGAAAGGGTCAATCTGGACTTGCCCCGACCCCTTTACGGTCTAACTAAAGAAGGGCATCAAAGGAATCACTTGATAGAACCATTTTTTAACAAAAATTGATAGATTTTTTTGTAGATGCTCAGTTATGTACATCACATTGACAAGATCAATTAAATACATTAAAAAAGAAAAGAAAAGAAAAGAAACATGACAAGATCAATTAAATACATTAAAAAAGAAAAGAAACATGCACATAGAAACACACGAAAAACCCTTCCACCCAAGCATAAAAGGAGCAACTTTGAAGGTGGAAAACTTGGTATCTATAAAAGCCGAGGGTTGCATAAATAAGGATATGCATATGCGAAGGAATATATGTATTCAAGCACATTACAATAACATGCATTCTTAGTAAATTATTGTTGGTTTTATACAATTTCATTGTTACCCTATTCTTAAATATTCGGCAGTACTTCCCCTTATACGGGATAGTGCCAGAAGAATAATCCAAGAATACTGCTAGTATCAGTCGGACTCTTATAGGAATCAAATCATGTTTTGAAGGTTATATCCAAGAATAGAAACGCTCCTAATATCAATCGGACTCTCGTAGGAATCGGAGCAGCTGTCGGAGATTATACATAGTGACAATGTATGTCGGATCTCACAGAGGTTGTTGATACATCACGGTGGACGAAAACTCTCAAACAACTGGGACCAAAATCAAAGGATCTGGAGGCACGAGATACTCTGGCTTTTTTCAAAGTGTTAAATGCTTGTGTCTCAATAAAATTTCGAAGTGGGTCCCATCGAGGATACTCCCAGGATACAACCAGATCATAATACAATTCCTTAGTCCCAAAGTTGCATGCTCATGATATCCGTGCAAAACCATAGTCGTAGAAATACTGATATTTTTTTCCAATCAATATGATACTACAAAGATTAATCGGAAACATACTTCTCTTACTACAACATATATCATAATATGAACTTCGATTGAATATGATGAATAAAAGCTCTGAATAGAATTTTAATGGATGCTACAAGAAAACATAGTATCACAAAATACTAGATATTTACCATAATTAGAAGGGTGAACTTGTGCTTGTAATGCCCCTGTTATCCTAAACTTAACAGTGGAAAAAAGAAGCAAGCCACAAACAAGTATGTACTATCCTCAAACTTTTGGAGGAATGAACGCATCAGGAAGTGGTTTTAGAGAGAGAGTATGTTCTCTTTAGAGAGAGAGATATATCTTCAAAAGAGCATCGTACATCAAAAAAATTTATGGAAAAAGACAAGACACCATAAATAGCAACAGGTGAAGAAGAGTGACACTTCATCGATGATATATCAAGGAGACAGTAACAGATGGTCCTAAAATGCCACTTGCAAGGGTCGCATATAAGAGAAGGGCACCTCATGCTTTTAGGACATGGTTTTGGTCGCTCTGAGACCATCTTGCATATAGCTTCCACAAGCAATCACGGCACAAACTACAGCACCAGCTTCCAGTAGGGGTTCTCTCTCTCTCTCTCTCTCTCTCTCTCTCTCTCTCTCTCTCTCTCTCTCTCTATAATTCGTATGGTTCGTTTCTCTCTCTCTCTCTCTCTACGAAAGGGCGAGCTAGGTTCGAACGTGACACTGGGAAACCCCACCGCCAATTTGAGAAAAAAAAAAACTAAATGGGCCGGGCCTCAATAGACCAGCAGAGGCATTTTCGGGCTTATCAAAGAAACCCGGCCAATTGAGCAGATTTCGGCCTTTTCAACCCGTCCTGGACCGGTCTGTTAGTAATATACACCTACAATGGCTTGGTCCAGCCCGGCCACCGGCCCATTAACCGTCCCGCTGGAGGCCTGTTATCCGGGCCTGCGCCCGCAGGAAGCTCTACATGCTTTTGAGTGTGAAATGTGGTGAGAACGAGAAAAGATTTTTCAACAACGCGGTGGTCCAACATGACCACAAAGAGCCAAGTAAAATAATAGTTAAATAAAGTTGTTGCGAAACAATTCAGCAAAAAACTAACAAGCAACTGAATAAGGTTGTTTGAAAATCAATTCAGCAAAAAGCTAACAATTATAAATGGGATTTTATAATAGAAAACCAATAACTTTAGATGTCCAGTTTGGAACTTGGTGATCCAGTTGTGGTTTTTCTTCTTGAATGAGGTCAATGGTGGAAAATTTTTTTAATTTTGAAAGTCATGCACAGACTATTCTGACCTATCCCCACGAGCAAAGGAAAAATAACCATTCTAGGTTTCTAACTTGCCTTCTATTACTAATTCAATCTAATGGTTGATAAGATCCACCTGCTAGGTCTTCACAAAAAGAGAAAGAGAGGAACCATGAGAGAGAGAGAGAGAGAGAGGAATAATGGAATACCTGAATTATTGACACTCAAAGATTGGGCATGTGGCATGCATTTCATAACATTAAAGTTCAAATAATTTAGACAACTGATTTAGAATGCCATGGTGGTGGAGAAACTGCCTAATAATTCAAAGTTGCCCCAGGAATAATATATGGATATAGATGACTACTACTCAAATAATATATGGATATAGATGACTACTACTCAAATAATATACGGATATAGATGACTGATCATGAAAGTTTAGAAGCATATCAGGTGCATGCAAGTGAATCAGAACTTGGTGGGTTCGCCTCAGGCTTGCCCGGAACTCTGCAGGCTGCCTAAGTTTGGAACCAGAAGGATGGGAACCGGCTGCTGATTCCTAGTTAAAAAAATTATTTTAAGGAACCCACAGGCGAACCCAACGGGGTCTTTCAGTTCAGACTCGGGTTCAGGCTCTGGACCTAGCGAAACCTGACCTGAGTCCTTGTTTCAGAGCACGAGCACTTACCATAGGATTTTCTCCATTGAGCAAAGTAAGGGAAGGCCCTTGCATGGATGTCATGGTTTATAAGTGAATTGGGTGCCAAAGGGGCCCTCTTTCTCATCTCATTGATGTTTCCAAAAGGGAATTTGGGTGGTGGCCCTTTGAAACCCTTCTTCTCAAGCCTTCTCTTCATTTTCATGGGAGAAAGCCAGCATAACCATACCAAATTCAAGAGGAAAAAGCATAACATAAGAACCATGGCCATGGCAAACGGCAAGTGTTGAAGACAAGAGAAACCCATGTTTTGACAGCTCAAAACTTTTGAAAAGTCGTGGTTTTTTGTGATCTTGGGGTGCTTTATATAGTTGCAAAAAGAGGTCTATTATGTTTTGAATATAATTTACATGTGAATATGTTTTGTTGTTATTGACTTTGTCTATAGAAGAATATTGATAAAGAGAAATGTAATTGACCGCCGGCATTATCAGCCTCCAAAAAAGCTCAAGAAAACGCTATAAAATCATCAACTATGTGTCTCCAAAATGAGAAACCCTAATTTCTTTAGCATTCCCAAAATAATCCCCATTTGACTAAGTTGGCCACCTTAGAGATCATGTAGAAAATATCAACCCAAAAAGGGATGTCTAAGTGTGTGTTACTTTAACAAATTTCTATGTGAATTTCACTTGAAAAGCCTTTGTTGAAAGTAATAATTCAAGGCCCAACTTTGACATTTATATAAAATAATGCCGGCTATTAGAGAAAAATCAAACCATCGGTACAAATGGCAATCCCCTTTAAGAGTAAATTAGGGCTGTTTATGGGCCGAGTCCGAGCACAGCCGCCCCAGGTCCCAAACTCATAGGCTTGGCTCAGACCAGAAGCTCAGTAGCTTATACTTAAAAATTTCTAGGTTGGGTTTGGGTGGGCTAGTATTAGCCCCGCCAATGTTCACAACATTGAACCGGAATGGTTAATCGGATATGGGGCAGAAGCGGTTTAACCGGCCTAACCGGTAAATTGGCCGATTCAATCATTCTAACCGGTCAAGTCCCGGGAGACCAAAAAATTGTTAAAAAAATTTTCAAAAAAAAATGCAGAAAAAAATCTACTAAAATATGACAAGCATATAAAAGAATTATTAAAACAAAAGACACTCAAAGGAAGTTGAAAATTAATGAAAAAATGGATTTTAAAAGTGCATATTAATGACCAAAGTAATTTTTAACATGTAAAAAATATTAAAAAACGTATTACAAATCAAATTCATTATTGCTGTGATTTTATAAATATTTTTTTTGAATTTTTATTTTTAAAATATCGGCTGATCACCAAAACCTCTCGAAACCGGAACTGACAAGGAGCCGGTTCCGATCTAACTGGGCGGTTGCCGATTAATCATGCGGTTTTTCAAACAATGAGCCTGCCCCAACCCAATAAAATTTCGATCATGCCGACCATGGACCGGCCTGGCCCATCCTGAATGTGGGCTCAAACCGAAAACCACGGGTCTTGCCGGGCTCATATTTTGAACATTTTTAATAGCAGTGGAGGGTATTTTAGTCATTTGTGCAACATAATGGGTGTCCTGAAAATATTGGTTTCATATTGAAAACTCATTCTTATGAGCTGGCATTGGTCAAATCCTAAAGAATGCGGAGTAGCCACGGCAGCTACGGATGGACGGCATAGATCTCGTTTATGCGTTGAAGAAATGATCACGATAACGCCCTGGCTCGAAGACCATGCCACAACTGTCAACGTTTTCGAAAAAACTGCACGTAACGAACCTTTTGGTCTTAGAATTCCACGTGTCTTAGATTTCAATCTCTCTCTCTCTCTCTCTCTCTCTAGGGGTCCAAACGGATCGGTTCCGACACGGATCCGGACCAAAAAATGATACGGGACCGGACCCGGATCCGAAACAAAAAATATAACATGGGATTTGAAACCGACTTAAAAATTAAAATATCTATAAATTTAATTGTATTGATATATCATATATTGAGACACAAAAAATATTATCGGACTCGGAGCAGAAATGTGTTTGGGTCAAAAATTTGGACCCAAACCAACCCGCCAAATCCATTTTTTGGACTGATACCCGGACATAGATCGAGTCTACCACTCGATTCCAAGTTGGGTCCAAGTCCATTCCACTCTATCTCTCTCATCTTAGACTTCAGTCTCTCTCTTGTGTAAACAAATAATAATCGATAACTTTCGATATTATTTATCTTCGTTACAAAGAGGTCACAATTAGTGATAGTCCAATGGGATGGCTTCAGAGGCTAGAGTCCAATGGGATGGCTTGAGATGCTACATTAAATTCAAGTATTGACTTAGTGTGAGAACTTGGGTAGTTAGTTGTTAAGCAAGCAACAAAACCCTCTCCTTGGCTGCTTAGACTTTTGACCATAAAGTCATATTGTCGAACTTTTTGCCTTTTTATGAAGAAAAGAGAGATTTTATAACAATAAACAATCCAATTAAGGCGGACTTCCAAATTTTATAATAACTAATTTTGGTGGAAATCTTTTTTTTGAGGATTATCTCAAAATCTATTTTTTATATCTAATTATAAAACTTTAAACTCCAAAAATATTAAAATCAAGCAGATTTATAACGATATGAAAATCTTAAAAATGGACGGTCTAGATAATATATTGCAAGATGCACTATTTTTGAGATTCAAAATCTTTTTTTTCTTTCATAGTCATACATATTGAAATCGAGATGACAAATTTTTTTTCTTTCATAGTCATACATATTGAAATCGAGATGACAAATTAGAGGTTTTTTCAACAGGAAAACAACATTTTTCAATGGATTTTTGAGGTCCAACTGTAATTCTACATTTTAATTCAAAATCTAGGCCTTTAAAAATTTAAAATCAAATTCTCCTCATTTAAAATTGTTCAATGATAAGTTCATTTACAAAAAAAACTGAGACCTATATTTAGTCATCTGATCTACATTCATCGAGTTAAAAAAATAATTTTCAAGCAGTCTTTCAAGTTTCTTTAAGTACGGCTTGATATATGCACCAACCGTAACATTGCTAGATATGGTGATCCAAAATCACAGCAACTCGTATATTATTGGGAATGCTACTGATGTTAATATTGATATTAATGAGTTTCTTTATTGGGATTCTTATTTTGTAGGATTAGAAAGGAAACTAAATTTTAGAGGAAATAACTATATTTATTAGTGGGATAAGGATTTCTATTTATTATATATATATATAGGACAAACCAAAAAAATGCCTACAGATGAATTGCTACAGTGTTTCGCCATTGCCACGGCCATGCTATGTCCGTGGCGGTTTATTGCAGTTCTGTATAATTTTTTGACCGTAACAGGTCTAGTGTGTCCATGACGGTAGCACCACAGACATGCCAAGTTCGTGACGGTCAAAAAACGCACACGACCTGATTTTTTCTAATAGTGATGCACCTATGGGCGAAAACATTGTTCATTTTTGCCCATAAGTGTTGTGTAGATGGGTGGTATACCCTTTTGGTGTGTCCTATTTGAGTTAAGTATGAGCAATATGGACTTCCCTCTAGAGAGAGAAAATGACATTCCTGTGTAGAGAAGAAGGAGCCTCTAAAGAGAGAAGTGATATTCTAGTGACGTAAGCAATTTGCATGTGCCTTGCGTCGATAGGATGTTTGTTTATTGTCGAGAAGTGGTTCCATAGAGAATTTGGGTGGTTTCCCCTTTTAGAGAGAAATGGTTTCCCATTGCTCTCACATCTCTATTAGGTGTGTTCGATAATAGTTGTTAGAAGTAAAGAAAATAAAGAAAAACATGTGATGTCCGTTGGGAGAGTGGTTTCACGAGTTGTTTGGCTAGGTATTGTTGATGGTTATTAAAATACCTTTCATATCCAGAAATCTATGATGTATTATCATCGGTATCATCGATTTCAATTTGCCATGTACCTGGATATAGTCACATCTATGACGAACTACATAAAGTCTCGGTGTTCTTTTTGTGTTATTTCCTTTCTACTTTTGTTTTTCATGCTTTTTGTTTACTCATTGCCAGTTATACTTTTATTACTCTTTATTTGCAAAAAGATAAACATGTTTGGTTTTAGAGTTTCTGCGCACAATAAACTTGTCGAACTGGAGAAAGAGAGAGAGGAGAGGATAATTTTTAGATTCCTCATGCAAAAAAAAAATCTAGCTAGAGAGAGAAAGGACAGTGATTTCATGCAATAGTTGTATCATAGTATAATGTAACCACACTTCTAAAAAACCATGTTTGCGGTATTTGTAAGACCCAAAATTTTGTACACACACTCTCTTCATCTTAATAATCAATCTAAAATAAAAAACAAAATTTTACTCCATATATGGTCAAAATGAGTTCTCTCTAACAATGAATCTAGACTGTCCATTTGATGAATTTTAAGATCTAGGCCTTTATGAATTTAAAATTATTTTATATAATATTATTAATCTAATGATAATAAAATTATCTAAAAAACTTGGAAATAAAAAAGATCATTCTAAGGTCTGGATCTAAGCATCTCACAAAAATGGACGGTCTATATTAATTTAGCTAAAAAAATGCTTTTTAAGTTGCGTTTTTTTTTAAAAAAAAAAATTATGAATTTTCATTAACATAAAAAAGAGTATTTATTTTAAAATTTAGATCAAACAAATGGCTTTATTAGAGTTTACAAGAGAGAATGTTACGAGATTCCAAGAGTCACATTGCGACTAGATTGTGTGGCTATAGAGAGAGAGAGAAAGAGAGAGAATAGATTCTAAAAATGATGACAGATTCCAAGAATGTTATGTTGAAACTAGATTCAGAAATTTTTGGTGGATAAGGAGCTTCCCAAACGTGGGCGGCAGGTCTCACTCAAAGAAAAAAGAGAAAAGAATGTGAGCTCAAAGTAAAGTTTGAAAAACTAGTCCAAGTATGCAACCCTTTGCATTTTTCATTCATAATTTTTAGAAAAAAAAAAGATTTAGTGAGAGAAAGCAACGAAAATGAAGTAACGAAAAGATTTAGTAACGAAATGAAGTAAACTTTCTCATCCGTGACGTTCCCACTTCTCACACATTTGACATGTTGGCCCACATGATAAAATTTGTAATCCTTTTTTCAGTTAAGCAAGAAAACTGATCCAAAAATTAAAATATATATGTATTTAACTATAATAAATATATTTCATATATTGGGATCCAAAAAATATTATCGAATCTAAACACGAATAGTATTTAGGTCCAAGATCTGGTCTAGGATCCGACCCGTCGAGTCTAATTTTTAAACAAATACCCGAACCTGGAAGAG